AAAAACGTACCAAACGTACAGTACGTCCAGTACGCCGGTGTAAAAAGGCCTAGGAACAGTAAGGCCTTTTCACACCGGCGTACTGGACGTACTGTACGTACAGTACGTACAGTACGTACTGTACGCGGTCCTTTCACACCGCACAGAAACTTCCAAAACGTACACTTGTTCGTTTGCAGTCAGACTAGTAACACTGGCTGAGCACGTGGTTTTGAAGTGTTCACTGCGCATGCGCGAGCCCATGTACGCCACGTACGTTTTAGAAAAATCGCTCTCCGAGCGATTCACACAAAACCATCGCGTACGTACTGGACGTACAGTACGTTCTGTACGCGCGGTGTGAACGAGCTCATATGATAACATGGGCAGCGATTTGTTGAGAAAAACGTACAGTACGTCCAGTACGCCGGTGTGAAAAGGCCTTACTTTTACTTTTCTTTGAAAATGCAGTACAGTACATTATTAACATGAAAATTAGAAACCTTATTAGTGAGAATAATCTTATTTAACAGCAGTAAGATGATCAATTTCAAAATAAAAAACTAAAATTATGTTGCCATAGCATTTTATTGTTATTCATTAACCAGTTTATAGATTTTTCAGGGGTTGTCTTAAGTTAAATCTTAAATTTGAATAATTATTACAAAATGTCTAGCAAACGCCCCACCTTCAAGTTTTTCGTTCGTATGATTAACTAATAACCAAAATATTGTATATAAAAAATTTCTTAACAAAGGTCTTAATATTAAATTTACCAATTTACTATTGACATTTTATAACAAAAACCACTTTTGTACCCTCCCTGTTGCAGCAAACCTCAGTAATCGTTAAACTAATTATATTTAAAGGTAATAAATGTGATATTATTAAGGATAAATGTTAGTGCAAATCCAATCAGGCAACTGGAAATTCGCTTAGTCTGCAGGTTTGATGCGGTGGGATTATTTTGCTATACAACTTATAAAAAGTTATGATACGCTTTAAAACTCCACAATGTATCATTTGGCAAGATAGCATTATTTAAGATAATTTTATGTCTCGTTAAAAACTAACTGGCCGTTTCTGAAGTTTGATATCGTAAATTCGAATGGGTATATCCATGACATTATTGTTATGGTTAGTTGTCTGTACGCTAGGGCAGTAGTGGTGTGACCTTGGCGAAGATGAGTCACTCAGTTTGGCGGGATATATCGTTTGGCGGGAAGCACACCTTCGCGATCTCGAGTGCGACTGCCGAGTCGAGTCGTCTCGTCCAGTGCGATCTTTGTTGAGTGTGCATCGACATTGTTTTACCTCTGTTTTTTTTAAAAGTGCGCTACCTAGCTGTTGTATTGTGATACAGTTAAAAGTTACTGTGTGTCTACCTCCTTCGAGTTAACACACTGATTCTCTGCAATTGGTAAGTAAATATTACCGTAATTGTTATATTTGTAGATTAACCTTTTTTGACGACTGCATTAACCGCTGGATGGAGGATTTATGAAATGTTCATGAACAAGTGCTCTTGTAGTATGGACATGAACAAATCTGTTTCTCATTATGACCTCACAATTTAAGCATGCGGTTGATGGCTGTTCCTTATGCACGTTATTATACAGAGTGTCTAGTCATCAGTGTTTCAAATAAGATTTTGGTGTAAGTAAAAAGTAAATAAAGTTTGAAGTTTGATGATGCATATAACAGGTTCAAAGTCTAAAACTTGGCTTGCCAGAGAATTATTTTACGTTTTTAGAAAATAACTAGGTGTTTAAACACAATAAAGCGATTTCTGAATTACCTGTAAATGCATTAGAGTAGATGATATTTTTTTCGTGATCCACATTAAACTTTGAATAAGAATAGCGAAAAAAATTATGGCTGCTAGTAAAACTCCATTGTAAATAGTTCCAAAGATTGAAATTAGTTTCTACGACACAAAAATTAAAAAAAAACTTTAGTCAACTATTGCATTTTTGTACACCCTGTAAACAAGAAGGTAGCAAAAGTATGTTGAAAAATGCGCCATTACATAAGCTTTCAAACCATATGCTACAATATTGAGGCTTAGATCTGCTTATAAGTTATTCGCTGTATTGGTTTGAATCATAGATTAAACATACTCCCTAAGTTGAAAATATGGTTGGCAGTGTCCCATACTTGTCTAACATACTCCCTTAGGGAGTATTAATCTATGTTTGAATACTGTAAATGTGGGATTTTTTAACTTTTTAAACATAAATAATAGTCATGAGTTCTGCAAAACTTGTATTTTTTCAGTTTGAAGAGTTAAAACAATACAAAATTTATGGTTTTTTTTGCATGTTCGAGCTTATGTCTTAAATTTTAAATCTAAAAGTAATTTGAACACGTATACGCATGTCTACGTTTTCGTTGAGTACCTAGGTGTAATGCATTGTTTGTTCATACGGCACCGCCATTTTTTTTACACATACAGTGTACTAATATACTGAATAGTTTAAGAGCCTTCATCACCTTCGGCGAAGTTTCGTATTAGTGGTATGACCTTGGGCTTGGTGTTGGCTGGTAGCGCGGGGTCATGGTCATTATGCGCGCCGAATACAGGGGCTGGCTCACGTGGACTAGCAAAGTGGTCCCACTGACGTGTGGCTGTGACGTCACCGCGCTGACTCCACGGGTGTAGCTAGCGTGCGACACATATACAAATCGCTCATTTAAATGCTTCCCTAAATGTACACAATTAAATTGTCCGTATAAAACTTATATCGTTGTAATCTGCATTCACTACAGAATCTGATGGTCCAAAAATACTTTAGTTATGATCAATAATATGTATTTTAAAAGGGGAAAATTATAACGATTACAAACTTGTGAACTACAAAAAGTCACTAAGCGGGGATTTTTTTTATTTTTGGGATAGGAACAAACTTTGAGCGAAAAAAATATTCATTAATAGTTCTATTTCAATAATTAGCCTGAAAATTTTCGATAAAACCAACGGGTCGTTTATTGCTTATCAGGAAGTAAGGCTTTATAAACTTGGCTCGCCTTTGGCTCGCTGGGGGCTCCGCCCCCAGGCCCCCTTTTTTTGGTAGGGGGTAAATAGAAATGGGCCATGGCGCAAGACCTGCAGTTGAGCCAAATTTCAGATCTTTAGCTATTCTAGAAGTGGGTAAAATTGATTTAGACCGATGCACCTGTAGGAATAACATTGGGGGGATTCTATATTTCGTGGGGGAGGGAGTTATATTTGTAAAATGTCACTTTTCGGAAAGGGCGCAAGATCTACAATCATGCAAAATTTCAGATATCCAGTTAATCTAGAAATGTGTAAACGTGATTTAGGCTTATGCACCTGTAAGAATAACATTGGGGGGATTTAATATTTGGGGGGGGGGGTTGTAAATACGATAGGGGGATAAAACCTTAAGTAAACCAGAGTAAATCTATAGCATGAACGGACCATGAGAACGGGGACTTATGGTGGTTTTTATGGGGTAAATGTTTTCTCCATAAGAATAACATGGGGCTCGTAAAAACTTTCAAATGTTGACATTAAACCTAAGTTTTGGGGGTTAAGGAGTAAAGTTACGAAAAAACACGTATTGTGTAAAATTTAAACTAAAGTAAGGAGAATAATAATATTTGCAAAAAGGAATGATTTAAGTATGAAAAAATAGCGAAAACCGGTAAAAAGTTGAAAGAAATTTACCAAATTTTGAAAGTAGGGAGTTTTTTGAACCCGAAAGAGTGCGATTTTCGGAAAACACCTAAGAGGGTTTTGTAGAAAATTTAATTCCTGTTCCTGGATATTCTTTCAAATCTTTTCTAGCTCTTACTGTTTTCAAGCTAAATCCGTTTGAAAAAAACGTGTTTTATCGTTTTCAGAGGTCCGCCATTTTGGATTTTTGGCGGGGTTAAAATTTGAAAATGGGACTTTTGCAAAGTTTACCGTTAATATAAGATCCCCTACAACAATAATACCAAGTTTCAAGTCTCTAGCACGTTTCTAAACGGTTCAGATGAGCACACCAAAGTCGACCACTTTCAATATTATTCTCCATAAGAATAACATGGGGCTTGTAAAAGTGGTAAAAAACCTTCAAATTTTGAGATTAAAATTAAGTTTTGGGGGTCAAGGAGTAAAGTTACCTAAAAACATGTAATGAGTAAAATTTAAAGTAAAGTAAGGATAATACAAAGCAATAATAATTTTTGAAAAAAAAAAAAATTTAAGTATGAAAACATGGCGAAAACCGGTAAAAATTTAATAAAAATTTACCAAATTTTGAAAGTAGGGCGTTTTTTGAAGCTGAAGGAGTGCGATTTTTGGAAAACGCCTAAGAGGGTTTTATATAAAATTTAATTCCTGTTCCTGAATATGCTTTCAAATCTTTTCTATCTCTTACCGTTTTCGGGCTATATCCCTTTGAAAAAAACGTGTTTTGTCGTTTTCAGAGGTCCGCCATTTTGGATTTTTGGGGGGGTTAAAATTTGAAAATGGGACTTTTGCAAATTCCACCGGTATTTTAAGACCTCTCACTACAATACTACGCAAATTTGAAGTCTCTTCCACGTTTCTAAACCGTTCATATGAGCTCACCAAATTTGGCCACTTTTAATGTTATTCCCCATAAGAATAACATGGGGGGGGGAAATTCAAGATTACGGGGGGGTTAAAATTTGAAAATGTCACTTTTTGGAATTTTATGGGTGGTTTGGGCACTAGACCTACAACCACCGAAAATTTCAAGTCTCTAGCTCATCAAGAAGTGGTCTAGAATTTGTATACCTGAGTGAGTAACAATTGCGGCTGTATAGTATTTAGATATATAAACTTAGTGACTTTTTCAAGTTTCATTATTGTAGTTTCTCTACGTTTGTTGGTATAAAACCAATTTACTTGTGGTAAACTAAAAACTGTTTGGATATTTGGATTCTACAGTTAATGCAGAATAAAACGATATAAGTATCATATGAGAAATATGTTCGTACAACGGTAGGGGAGCGTGTAAAAGAGTGAGATTTTCGCTGGCCGCGTAATGGAAACAGGCCCGACTGTCAGCCCGGTGACGTCACAGGAGGTGGGGGAGCGGGGCCGTGTCGGCAAGTGCTACATCAAAGACGTGAGCTAGCCCCTGTATTCTATAGCCCCGGTAATCACGCCCAACGATGTAACACCACACCAGCATACCACAACAAATGGTGTATCTCGTCAAAACATGTTAATTTTATATATTCTTATCTACATATTATTTTTTTATATTCTGAACACTTTTTAATAATATAGATAAATAGTAAGTACGGCTTTTATATTGGAGCTCTCATACCTCAAAAAGAAAATAAATTAATAAAAATTGTTTTCTAAATGTTTAAAAACAACTCAAGTTTTACTAACAGTAGGCCTACTTACACGTTTTTTTAACAGGGCAAGAGACGCCTTACGTATGTTTTTAATATTTTCGCAGGGTTGAAGAAGACTCTTAATGTAATGTAATTTCATAATACAAAATTTTACTTCCAGTGTGAACAAACATCGCTCAGACAAATAGTACACATCAATATAAAGTAACCAATTGTATATTAAATTGATTTAGCTTTTCATATTTTACATTACATTCTTGAATACATTTTTGTATTTTATAGGGGGAAATGGCGTCTACCTCTTGTGATACAAACAAGAAATACAGTAGAAACTTGTGCTCCTTCACCGGATGTGGAAGAAGTAGAGCTCGCTATCCCTCATTGCACTTTTTTAGATTTCCGACTAAAAGACCTTCTATTTGTGATCTTTGGGTCGAGAATTGTGCTAATGAGGCTTTAGATGCGGTCACCAAAAAGACACTAGATAGAAGGGTAGTGTGTGAAAAGCATTTTGAAGACAGTTGCTTTCTAAGCACTGAGAAAAAAGATTACACGCATGTGCTATTCCAACAATTTTGTCTTTGGAAGACGGAAATGATGCACCATCAACAGTAGCTGCCCAAGAGCCAAACCCCACACAGCTGACACAACCCCCTTCTGATCCTTCTAATCTGTACCAAGAATCAATAAACCCCGTACAAACCCCACAACAATCTCAAGTTTATGACAGACAGGCTGCTGGTCACGAAGCGGTTTCTCGAAGAGCTTTATTTGCCACGCCTAGTTCTTCAAATACCGATGCCCCCACTCCACTCTACAAAAAATTTAAAAGCATTAAGGGCCGTAAACAAACCCCCAAAAAAACGTTGACACCTGGGAAAAAAAGACTGTTAGGTAAATTAAATACATCAAGAAAACTTAAGCGAAACTATCAGCAAAAAGTACAGCGCCTACAAAATAAACAGACCAACATAACAAAGGAAATGATGATATCTGCAGTACAAAACATGCTACCAGTACATGTTTCAAATTTTGTTTGTATGCAATTGAAGCATGTGGATATGAAGAAAATGCCATGGACACAGGAAGAGAAGTTGCAAGCCTTAGCAATGAGGTACGCTTTTTATACACACTGTATTTTTTTATGGCCTACCTATTTTATGCGGACAGCTGAAACATAAATAAGCGTTGAGAGGTGTTGCTCTTATTTAAATAAGTTAGACGGAGGATTTACTGGTTATTTCATTGTGCGAATAATAAATCATAGCACGAGTGTAGATGTAGCAGATTTTGTAATCCGCGTAACATGGAGCTAAGCCGTTATTTTCAATTGTTTATCAATTAATTCAATAACCTTTGGAGCTTGGAGGGTTTTCTAAAACTTTATAAACTTGTGATACTATTTTAGCTTGCTATTACAGAAGTAAAACAAACTTTTGGAAGTAAATTTATAAAATTTCAAAATTATGTAAATCATAATACAACTTCAAAGTTGAATTGAAAAGTCCGTTATTTCGAAATTCTACAAGCTTGGTACTAAATGTTTAACTGTATGGGTTTGTTATTCCTACGACACAAAGTCGGATAGTAGCCTATAATAGTATAAGCATAGTATAATTTCTTGCTTACCGATTAATATAAGTGGGTAAGTCCAAGTCGTATTACAGTTTAAATTGAAGAAATTTGTTTAGTGTCAAATATACAATTTTACAGATACAAATCCCCAGCATTGTATGACCAGATGAGAAGTGATGGGTTTGCTCTGCCTAGCACATCGACAATTGCACGCTGGCTGCAGTCTATCAACTTAAGGCCTGGCGTATGCTCAGAGATCATCGGCTTGATAAGAAATAAAGTCAAACACATGGGTGATTGGGAAAAAAACGCTGTCATTCTGTTCGATGAGATGAGCATCAAGTCTAGTCTTGAATATGACTCGAAAAGGGATGTGGTTGAAGGTACTGTCTGTTTTGTATTATGCTTTAAAAGTATAATGCATAATATTAAATGGTATTAAATTATAACGTTCTTTAGTTAATTTGAATGAAAACCATTCCTACTAAACAAGCTACCAAAGTTTGTTGCTAAACAAATTTAGAATTATAAAGTCAAAATTAAACTAACGGAATTTTAACCAGTGAGCTTATCTTAAAGTTAACTAATAACCTCTACCTCATTCAATATTTACCTTTCCCTCCTCCAAACCACATCCACTTCACCAACCCTTCCCCCTTTTTGTAACAGTGGCCTTATGCTAGACTTTATAAGTAACTTATATTTCATTCACTATTTATTTTATGTGGAGTTGATACGGATAAAAGTGGTATAACCATTCGAATAGTCATTGGTATTTTGTTATTGACATTACTCAAAGTCGTGACAGTTTTTGTTTACCTTTTAATATAATTATGCATTTTGAATTAAATTAATTAACTTCGTATTAAATAACTAATTTGAAAAGGGTCGGTTTATTTTTTGTTATTTATTTATTTTAAAAATCCACATAATTACATAAACAATTAACAAAACTTAATACATCAAATGATTTTTTTTAACTCACTTTGGTATTTCAGGATTGTTTGATCTTGGAGAAGATGGCCGTAAGCCTTACCCAGCTACTCATGTCCTACTGTTTATGGCCAGAGGGCTTACATACAGATGGAAAATGCCCATCGCTTATTTTGCCACCAATAAAATGGTGAACGGCTCTGTTGTGGCAAAACTGATTCCTAAATGCATAAATGCAATGCAAGATGCTGGGTTAAAAGTGAGAGCGGTAGTATGTGACCAAAGCTCAGTGAACAGAAAAGCAGCTACGCTACTGAACACGTCGGCAGAAGCCCCATTTTTTATAATGGACGAAAGGAAAAACTAATTCATCTACGATTTTCCTCATGTCATAAAATGCATCAGGAACAACCTGATGAAAAGGAAAAATGGATGTTTTTTTGGACAGATGACGTTTAGCAAGACACCTACGTTTGTAAATCAGGAGGTAGGTGGTGTTACAAAGTTTAAGTTTTGCTACGTATTTTGTTAGTTAATTTTGTTTATGTTGTTAATGTATGCTATAATTAATTATAAGCAATTTCCCTACAGGGAAGAAGCTATTACCGTCTCATGGTAAAAGCTAAGTCCGGGTCCATGATAACTTTTTGTTTTGAGGTCCCCAGCTGCCAAAAAAAACCAGTCGATCAACTTTGTATAAATTTATGTGTCCATAAGTACGATAACTCTCGTAAAAAGGGCCCAATAATAATGAAATTAAGACTTCATTTATATGAGTTATATTGATATTTACATAAAAAAAATTTATTTTGTGTTTATCGTTGCAGCAAACCTACGTTCAGTAAACCTTTTTCCATTATACTGTATTCAAGCAGCCAAAATCTAACGACATGTTCCCACATGTAGGGACTTTCTTGAACTATGTAATTAATTAAAACATGTAAATGTTTTAGGAAACGGCCAATCCTGATGATGAGCAGCAGGCAGCTGCTTCAGAGGAGCCGGGTGAAAAGCCCAGTATTGGTGTTGCCGACTGGGATCACGTCCAAAAGCTCTACAACATAGATAGCGGAGCCACCAAGTCCAGAGCCACCAAACTGACGGAGAAGCACATCCGGCCAAACAGCTTTGAAAAGATGTCGGTTAAGCTGGCAACTCAAGTCTTTAGCTTATCCGTCAGCGCAGCCATGTCAACTGCAGTTGAAACTGGGGAGCTGCCTTCAAGCGCACTAGATACTGCGTACTTACTGAAACGTTTAAACAACAGATTTGATGTGATGAACAGCACAAATAAGTTCCATCCGAACCCATACAAATGTGCTATTTCAGCATCTACCAACAGCCATCTTAGAAAGCCACTAGATACTTTAGTTGATGACATAAATTGGGTCAAATCTTTAAATATGTTGCATGAGAAGAAAAGACCACCTTGCTTACACAGCTTAGAGCACACACTGGTTGCAACCCGAATGCTCTGGGCAGATTTGGAAGAAGATGGCGCCAAATACCTTTTGACTGGAAGACTGAACCAGGACCCAATCGAGAATGAGTTTTCGGTCGCTAGACAGAAGTGCGGGTATGTAAACGTATTGGGATAAGAAGGCTTAAGGATTAGGCCTGTAAAATATCTCTGATTTGAAAACACCCCCGTAGAAGTAAACCTACTAATTCATGAAATTTCCAATGAATAATATATGCCATAAAACCGCAAACCTAGTTTCTTAAAATATGTTCACACACATATAAGCGATAAATACAATAATTTTAATAAGTTTCCATAACAATAACATTGTTGATGAGTACGTAGGTTTGCTGAAACAAGGAACACAAACAATTGGTTTCTATGAAAATATGAATAGAACTTAATTATGAGTGTAGGTTTTATTGGATTTACTCATTAACCACTTAACCAAGGTTAATAGATGAAAATACAATGTTATTTGTTTTTAAACTCGATAAAATCGTCAAAACCAAATATGTTTTTTTTGTCTTGACGATATTTTTAAAAGTACAAACAAAAAAACCCCAATATAATTGAAATTCTTTTCTCAAAACATTTTATGTTCTAGGTTTGAAAGAAATCCGTCTATTCGGTTGTTCCGCCAAAACTTAAGGCATAGGATACAGGCAGCTCTGGTCCAACCCCCAGCTGGAGCCAACTGTGAACCCGATGACGATGAACTTTTGTCGACAATGACGATAGATAAAGAGACAGAACCACACAGCGGATCCTCATTAGCCTGTGAGTCAGCCACGACCGCCCTCCCCACTGAAGAACATGAAAACTCTCTTACTCCAGAATCGGACACCGACGAGGAAAACGACGCCGGTCTTGGATCCTCATTGCCATCATTGCAGTCCTGTTCCGTTAGGTGAGTATAATTAAATGCATTATAAGTTTTTTATAAGTGTTTTGAATGGGAAATCATATTTATCCACTAAACTGGAGAAGCATACTATTCCTTCATTAAGTAATAATGCTGTAAGATAAATGGAGAGCTGTGAATAGAGATATTAAATAGTTTACAACTATTTTAACTAATTTTTAGTTTTAACTCATTTACAGGCCTACAATTTTTAACTAATAAATGTTATTTTTACAAGGTATTTCACCGGTTATGGGGTCAAGTCATGCTTAAATAAATTCAATTGCGCCGACTGCAGGAGGGAACTGTTGAAGCTGCCACCTGTTCATACAGCAGACAGTCCTGAAGAGGCCCTCATCAGGAACAAGGAGTATCGGCATGACACATACAGTTTGATATACCCTACGGACAAAACAACTGAGGTAGTGGACATGGTGCTAAGTGTTTTGGACAAAATTTTCAAGACCAAAATACACGTTGTTGGTTTTAAGAAAAATGTGCTCTTGAAAGCCAAACAACTTATTTTCAAGACCCACTCAGAATGGATGAGAGGTGCTACGGATTGCTACAAGCACAGGGAGTTCTTAATAAATAAGATTGTCTCCGCCAAAATTAAAAGAACTCTGCAAGCAATGTCCAAAGAACTGCGCCAGCCCGGTGGGAAATATGGTAATCACTGGGAGAAAGTGATGAAATTGCAAAACAAGTAGGCTCTTTTCTCTTTCAATGCCATGTATATGCAATGATAAATCAAATGTATATATAGCAAAGCAAGTTATTGTATAAAAATATTAACGAAGTACTTGTCCTTAAAAAAATCAGATAAGATACCAGTAAAATTCAATAACTTTAATTGTAAAGTAATTTAGGTTTCATAATAGTAAATTGTATTCCTTCAATTCAAACCTGTCAAATTTATTAATGTTCCCAGTTTTTTTGTCAACTTTAATTTTATTTCGACTAAGTAAACATTATCCAAATTTAATACATCAAATCACAGAAATTACTTTTTCAACTGTAACAGTTCTGAATTTATGGCGGAGTTTTTTTAGCCGGTAAAAGTCCGGCACTACTCTCAAATACGGGTTTTTGAGTGTCCATGAGGATTTCCACTCCGCCCGACAAAATAAAAAGGAAAAAAATGATATAGAATTAAATGGGATTCTATAAGGAAATTATTGCTTATTATTAATTAACTACATCCTTGGTAATGAAATATCAGTTCTACATATCATGCACCCTTTACACTAATTTGATGTTATAACAGTAAGAGGATTTTCATGAGTGATCGTAGTACATTTATCAAGGGAGAAGTAGGTATATGGTTTGACAAGAGGACAGTACTGTCGCTTGTGGCTAGCCAGCACCCTGCGAGGGATCCATTTGCCAAAGGTATGTTCAGCGGGTTCAGTGTACACAGTACGTGTACGTCGGTGTCGAGTCGAGTCGACGGCCAGTCCCGGGTTGGCGCTCGGTGCGGCGGTGCCGTTCTCATACGCCGCTGTATCCCCTCCTAGCACACGGATCGTTAGTTCCTCGCGGCGCCACAAGCTGTGCCACTGCGCCGCTGCCGTCGACACTGTTGCTACAAAACTCCGCAAGATCGCACCACTGTTCCCCCGTCTTCATCTTTTAACATAGCTATAACTGATCTACTTAGGGAGTATGTTTAATCTATGGTTCTGGTTAGATGAGACGTGTGACCAAGCTGTAGCGGGAATCCATTCTTGTATTTGAGATACTCTATTGGCTACATACGTTTTTAACTTGTATGGTTGGGTACAAATCCAATTTAAAGTTACAGTAGAATCCGTCCAGGCGTGAATGGAAGTAAGTGGCACTTGTTTTGATAAGAAATTATTAGAACAAAAATGCATTAATTAGGCGAGTAAATGCGCCCCGCACAATTCGAGTCTGGGAAGAGAAATACGCTTAAGAGGCGCTACTCTGGTTTTGGCGACAATTAGTGAAATATGCGTGTTATGGTCGGAGTCAGTAACACGTAAATAAATACAGGCTGAGAAAGCAAGCTCACTGGCATCACAAAAACCGTGCAATTGTATGTCACTTGAATTGGACATTCTAAAATGTCGAGGCAACATTATATTTTCAAGTAAATATAACTGTTCTGTAAACAACTTCCATTGCCGCAATAGGTCGGAGGGGAGGGGGGTGTCCCATTGAAGTCCTCTTGTCCACAATGTTTGGATAAATATTTTTGCCCATATCACCACAGGAGATAAGAATCCGCACGGGTCAAATATCTTTGCAATGTCAGATAACACAATTCGTTTTGTATACGTTTCAGACTGAGAAATATTTATTTTATAAGTAAAACAATCAGAGCTTGAGATCCACTGTAATCCTAAGATGCTAATCAGTGGTTGGTCTGGGGTGCGAAAAACTACAGGTTTTTCATGAAACTCACTTGGAATGTCCTTGAGTAGAGCATTGTGATTTGCTGTCCATTTTCGTAATTGAAAACCACCTTTAGCGAGAATTGATTTTATATCATTTTGAAGGAGCAAGGCATCTTCTATTGTGTCAGCGCCGAGGGCGACGTCATCTACATAAATGTGATTCCTTAAAACCTGAGAAGAGGCAGGGAGATTAACTTCCTCATCCTGAGTTAATTGTAAAATTACCCTATTAGCTAAGTAGGGACTACTTGACATACCGTAGGTGACAGTGTTTAGCTGATAAATAGAAAGCTTCTTTTGTGGATCGTCTCTCCAATAGATAAACTGATAACGGCGGTCGTCCTTGTCGAGTTCGATTGAACGAAACATCTGTTTTACATCAGTAGTGAATACATATTTATAACGCCTGAAATTCGTTATAATTGTAGCTATGTCATTATGCAGTTTTGGGCCTACATGAATAATGTCATTCAGTGATAAACCAGTCGTTGTTTTTGCGCTTGCATCAAAAACCACTCTTAAGCGAGTACTGGAACTGGAAGCTTTAAAAACACCGTGGTGCGGTAAAAAATAATGCGGCTTGTCAGGAATAGAATCTGTAAACAATGACATGTGGCCTGTACTCTCATAATCACTCATAAAATCAGAATACAATTGCTTAAACTCAGGTTGAGTATTAAGTTTACGCTCAAGCGATAAAAAACGCCTTTTAGCATTGAAAGATGAGTCCCCTAACTTTGCGGGATTTTCCTTGAACGGAAGTTTGACAGAATATTTTCCTGTCTCAGGGTTGCGGCAGTAAGTTTCAGAAAAATGTTGTTCACATTTAATATCTTCCTCTGTGAGTTTAGAGGGTGCGGGAGGCTGTTCCAAAGACCAAAAATTAGAAATCAATTTACTTAAATTATCCTCTTGCAGGCAATGAAGTATAATGTGATTAACATTTTACAGTCCGTGGATACAGGAGTTTTGCCGATAACAATAAAACCAAATTCAGTGTCCAGAGCATGAGGCATGTTCTCACCTAAGCTATATTTATTCGGCTTTATTATTTCCATGAAAAGGTCAGCTCCAATGAGCATTTGAATAGGACCGCTCTTATAGAAGTGAGGGTCAGCGAGTTTGAAATTAGCCACACTTTTAATAACATTGTCGTTAATAAGTGCTGAAGGCATGTCTGAGGTTATCTTACTCAAAACTAACACTGGATGGTTAGTAGAAACTTGTTTGTTATCAAGCGTGAGAATATTTACATTTGTTACACCTTTGGTGCTAACAGGAGTAGTGGAAATACCATTTACTTGGCATGATTGTTTAGAATGTTTTAGCTTTAGCTGCAATTTATTCACAATGTCCGTGTTAATAAATGTACAAGTGGAAGCACTGTCCACAAGTGCTCTAACAACCATTGTGTTTCCTTCAGTAGAAGTCAGTTTCACGAGCGCAGTGCCCAAAAGTGTAGTAAACAATTCATTGTTACTATTTGCGGTGCAGACGGTCTGCGAGTCATTGTTGCCATCAGCTGATAGGGGAGAGGGGTGAGGGGGGAAGCCGGAACTGGTTTTATTCCTAGTTTTGCGAATACTGTCCGCTTCGTTATCTTTGTAGATTGCTGCAGTCTGTCTACTGTGTGATGGAACTGTGTTATTAGACCTAGCTACATTTAAATGTAAAAGCGTATGATGTCTTTTATTACAAGTACGACAAGTATTCTTGCTGACACATTCGTTGAATTTATGCTTACCTAAGCAGTTAACACATAAGTCATGCGACTTAACAAAATTATATCGCTCTGAAGGACTTAGCCTAGCAAAATCATTGCAGGAATAGATCACATGATTGTGACTACAGAATGAACACAATGTATTGTTATTTGTGTTTTGAGTGGTGAGAGATACATCTTTTATGCGGGAAAACCCAGGTTTCGGCTTTACATTGCTGACATGTTGTGCATTATGACGCACATTCTGCGAATGAATTAAATGAGCATTTTCCATAAAAGCGCATTCACTTTCGAGAAATTCAATAAATTCCTTAGGCGTGGGAAGTTCCTGGGAGTTTTGACGTTTAGTTTCAAAACTAGTGCGTATTTTTATGTCAAATTTACGCAACAACAAAGTCATGAGAACTGGATTATCATCATGTATGTTTACATTCAGACTGGCTAGAGCGGAGCTGTGCTCATTAAATTGAGAGATAAAATGCCTTAATTGATTAGAACGTGTGTCAGTGCAATTAGGCATATCAATGATATGATTTATGTGAAGCGACTTTAAGATCCTAGGATTGTGATACCGCTTAACTAGCGTGTCATACGCGATGTCGTAATTGTCGTTAGTGAGAGGAAGAGCCTTAATTAAATTAAAAGGCTCGCTTGAGAGACAAGACAAAAGATATTGGAATTTTTCAATGTTTGTGAGCGATTTATTCCTATGTACAGTCACCTCAAAAACATTATTAAAGGCTATCCATCGAGATATGTCACCAGAAAATGTTTTTAACTGTATCTTGGGAAGCCTGACATTAGATTGGTTTGGATTCAACGAATTTGAGGTTGTATTATGTTCACTAAAGCTTTCCTCAGCACTTTGAGGGAGAAGCGGCCTTAAAATAGTTAGAATATCAAGAAATAAATCACTTATAGTAGAGTCAATACTTGAAAGTTCGGTTTCCTCAGCATCTGTGGTAGAACCAGGAGTATTAAGTACATTATCCCGTATCTTATTGTATTCAACTTGTTTTGCAGAAGTATCCTCGTTGAGAGATAACGCCCTTTGTTTATGTTTTTCTTCAAATGGTTTTAGTTCAGAGAGAGTAGTTGCATGCTCCAATAACTTTTGAAGTCTATTTTTAATTAATGTAGACTGTCGTTTAAAAGTTACGAACTTCATGATTAGCTTTTACAGTATAATTAATTGAAATGTGAACACTGCTAGCTAACACAATAAAATAGCTACAAAAGTAAAAAAATCAATTGATTTGAGTTGTGTTAACAAAGCTTGATTTTGACTTTTGTAAACAGAAAAGTTATTATTTTATAATCTTCATACTATCTCATTCTTAGTTTTAGTTCTTGCTGGAAAATCAGGTATTAAATTTAACTAAAAAACAGTTTGAGAGAGTTTGTCAGTAAATAAGCTTCACAAGAGTTTTAAACACTTTCTTGAAGGGTCAAAGACAAGGTTTTGCTTTTATTTAGCACTGATAAACCCCATATCCGGCTCGAAGGACCAAGATGAACGGTACTTTGCGTACTTCCAATTTATAAGAGCAGAGACCATCTTAAATTTTGAATAGTGACGCAAGGTGCGGGCTATGTTAACTGTACAGCGCTTGACTACTACAGCATAAATGCTGGAATTAGGATTTTTCAAAGATATTAAAAGCTGAAAGTCCTGTAAAGAAAACAAACATTTTAAGCACTCTTGTGACATGAATAAATATATTAAAATGAAACGCTGAGAGTACCTGATTTCCAATTTTACTGAGTGTAGGTGTTATTGAAGCTGAAGAAGTGCAGCCGTAGAGGTGTCAAGATCCTGTAGATGAGAGAGATGGCAGCATAGGGGAGTTAGGGCCTCACTGCTGTGGGAAGAAGGCGCCTTCTTTAGGGGACGATGAGATGATGTCGGTCGTATGTAGAGATGATGATGTGCAGAGTTGATGTAGATAATTGTGTTAAGCATTAGAGAGTAAAAAAGCTATTCTCTAGCATTTAAAATAAAAATAAAAATCACTTCCTCTTGAGGTTTTATCACTTTATTCATGTGATATTTGAATTAAAAATAAAAATATTTACACTTGGCACTCTTCTTTATGCCTTGCACAAAATAATAAATCTTAAAATTAGCAAATTGAAATGCAAAGTAAAAATGATTTAAGACTTTAAACTGGAGCTTGATGTTTCTTGAAATAACATGAAATTTAACATGAAAAGTGAGAAATAGCTTATAAAAACTGGCGTCTTGATGTATTTAAATTGAGAATTATGCGGTGAACTGGATGAAATAACACTTTGTCAGACGGACGCTGCATAAAGCGAGAACGAGAGTAAGTTATAAAACACTGGTAAAGAGACCACGTGCAAAAAATGCGTA